TGTGCTCCACTGCGCTTTCCGTGCCATTCCAGATGTGTTCGATAACTCAAAGGTCCGCACCGCCCCAGCCAGTAGTTAGTGGCTCTGACTGGCGTAGCGATAGGCCCGGGTTCGAATCCCGGAGACCACCTATTGGTCGCTTGCATAATGAAATGGCCACCACTTCCGGCACTTGTAGTCGCGCAAGGCTAATGGCTATTAAACAAAAAAACAAACAAACAAACAAACAAAAAAAAAAAAAAAACTAAGGTCATGTGATTTAGATGTTCATGATTAGACTTCAGTTCTAATAGATTTTCTATTATTCAATTATGGCAAAGCACATGAGTGCTATCTGCCTAAAGGGAGGGATGCCTTCGTGGAGGACTTTCTAAGGGAAACTGGCTCGTATACACGTTACACATATCAATTTTAATGGATGTTCTTGTAATCATATTTTGGTATCTTTAGCCATGTGTGATTGCGCTTTGTCCTGCTGGAAGAGGCCACACCTTTCAGAATGAACACAGATAGTGAAAAATGCATCTTATCGAAAAGGATGCGTACGTGGCGTTTGCTCTCAGAGAAGTTTATAAATGTACCAAAGGAACTGAATATTCATTGAATGCCGGCTAAACAAACCTTGTACCTTTTTGCGGAATCTCTGGTTTCAAGGGATTTTCACGAAGCTCAAATCTTTCCATCTGTCCGAAACAGTTGGACAATCGATTGGTCAAATTAGCCTACTCATTTCTAGTTTTCAAATGTCCAGCGCTCGCACTGTCATATTTGTAGTCATACTACACCCTTGAATTGGTTATGTATAAAATCTTCATTAAATCAAAAATCCACTATGTCCCGTCTCATGTTTTCCAAGTATTTGAACTGTTTTCCAACTGTCTCAAGCACTTCCAATTATTAGAAGGCATTAAAAATTGTTTCAGTCATTAAAAACTGCCATTTATGTGGCGAAACTAACTACAAAAATTTCCACAGATGTTTAATTTTATATGGAGTTGGTGGATGCTTACAATGACTAAATACTAAATAGCGTTTCTGTGTGTTCTTCATGGGCTCATATGTATTAGAGTGTTTGACATATCTGTGTATTTTCCAAGTCACTTTTGCTAGATATTTCCTTTAGGATTAGTAGATTGGAATTAACGTTTTCACATGCGTTAATAATAGCAATAATAATAATTTAAAAAAACTCTCTTCTAATAAATGTATTTCGTTCTGAAAATTTTTTTAAGTTGGAGGGCTTTATATGCTTAAATTTTAAAGTATGTATGATCCTGTCATCTGGTGTGCAATGGTCTGATTTTATTCATGGGAGTTCCGTAACTGAATAGTTCATGAAACGTAATAATTCCATTTATAAGGCTCATTTTAAAATGTTCCCTATGGATTACCAATAAAAATATCCTTAAATAAATTGTACTGTTGTTGTACAACATATGAAAAGCAGTTTATGGAATAAATTTAGTGTACACATGTACAGTATTAATCGGGAAGTGTTGTTGTGTATGCTTTTCCTCCGGATTCCTACGAAGTCAGACAAGGTCCAAAAGACCGTTGACTCTAAGAAGTCGAGCAGAAAAAGGGAATTGGTATTGGTATAAATATCCTCCATAGAGAGGTCCAAAGAGACCAAAATTTATTCGGTAAAAGCCTGTTGTTCACAGCACTTGGTGTATAAGGTATTTCTCCCGCCTTCTTAGCATACCTTCATGGTGTAGTGGTCAGCACGCTCAGTGTGTATTCGAGAGGTCCGTGGTTCGAGTCCCGGCGAGGGCATTGCTCATTTTTTTATCTTTCCTCCTTCGAAATAACCTAATGTCTCTACAAAGTAGATTCAGAGTTTGAAAAATACAGGGTATTAATATGGCACAAGAATAATTTGAAATCTTCGTTGTGCTTCTTTCATCATTTTGAGATGAATGAGTTATCAGCGGCTTATTGTTCTATTGATGAATACTATTTTCACGTGCAGAGGCGATCATCATAAATAATTGAATTTGATGATGCGTATGGATTGAGATACAGTTATTTGCATTCGGGATATTTGACCTGATTGTCAGTGGAAATGTCGCGAATATGTACCTTAGACTATAATAATTGCCCCAATAGCCTGATGTGATCTATCAGTAGAGCAAAAATAATGAGTCATCGGAGAGAGCCACTTCATTGCACTGAGCAGGTTCCAGTTTCGATGTAATTATGTATATTGATGCTCTTGTTTGAAATGCATAATTCTGTAGATGCTTTGTCATATTCCAGATGAGCTCAGTACTGTACGTCATTCGATGTCGATCGCGTTGAGACTTTTCAGTTGGCCCTTTTTAATTTGCGGATCAATACTAAAGAACCATATCAACTGCTATCTCTGAGTTCAGTGAAATGTAGCAATATTCCTTCAGATGTGTACTATACACATACTTTCAACGCGAAATCCTGTTTATAGTTAATTCTTAATAGCTAATAACAATCTAATATCAGCTATTACTTGGTAGCATGTAAAAGAATGTAATAATCGCATATATTTTAATGACCTTATCCAAATGAAAAAATTTTAGGCTTAGGATGCAATGTGGTCATTTTCAAAATGAACTTATATAAATATGTTGTCTGTTATCATTAAAAAAATGCAAAAAATGTTATGTAATGTCTTTGATTTAAGATTTTTTTAGCTATCAGGCCTACTAAGTAGAAATTTTAAATCTCTGACCACATTCTTTGCAGTATGTTTCATGGGGTAGGTACACACTTGTGAAAATCGAATTTAACTTGTTATACTGAAAATGAATTGCAAAATGTATGTAGAAATTTAAATGCAATAATTGCTGCTTCGTTTTGGACACTGTTTTAAGAGAAAGGTGTCTCAAACTAAACTTTTAAATTGTGGATAATGTGGCAACTTCTTTTTTAATTGATTGAACCATTAGACGATCTCGAATTTCATTAATTTACAAATTGCTTTAAAATACTTAAATAGCATAGGCAAAAATGCTGACTATTCATTGAGAACACAGGCTGTTCACTTCATTGTAACACAAAGCCAGAACTACTGCCTTCTCAAAATGTTTTTTCAACCTCTCCTCTCACTAAGCAAACATTTATTTTTACTTTTTTGTTGTTTATAAATCTTTTCTCATGTTTTTTTAGAGAATTGTAATTATTTACCTGTTATATATTTCCAAAAATATTAAATTTAAATTGCTAATTTCTTTAAATATATTTTATTTAACACAATTAGGTTAATTTTTTAAAGAGTATGCAAAAAATTAAAAGCATTCGTGATTTATGTTTTCTTTCTAGTCCAAAGGGCATCACCCCAGAAGGGCTATTAGTCTCGATACAGCATTTTGCGTTGAATCACTTTTCAAATTTTTGCCACCGAATATTATTATATTTAGTGACATGCCCTGCATTATATTTAAAGAAATTAAATAATGAAGAATCTGCATGAATTTATGTATGTTTCTCGCGTTGTAAAACAACGATGTCTCTACAGAGACATCAAATTTTGAATAACGTTGTCCTTCACCCGAATTGGGGCACTTGGAAGTCCAAATTTTGAATTTCGAATTAGTTTTATTATCTATTTCATATTTTGTAAAACTTCAATGAATTTGTGATTAAGAAACTCAACGATTTCAAAGCGAGCAGAAGCAACACTGTACAGAATAAAATATTTTTATCTCCAGTACGCGAATCTGTCTATCGGAAATTTTAAATATATGCTGTTTTTAAATATTTTGAGTCCAGTGCTGTCGAAACGTGTATGTTGGTGTAAATGAAAAAAAAAAGAAGAAGAAAAAAAAAAAAAAAAAAAAAAAAAAAAAAAAAAAAAAAAAAAAAAAAAAAAAAAAAAAAAGCTCCTTTGGATGTAACATCAAATTTGAAAGCTTTCAGTTTTTTTGGGGGGAAGGGGGTGACATTAACATCTACATAGCAGTAAGAACGTTTTAAATTCGTTTCCCAGCGAGATAACTGTATCTATTAAAAATTCATTTTTGAGTAAAGTATTGGAGGATATATTAGTATTTGTTATGATATTCGTGTATTTTCATCTTACATGATTCTTGCGTTCCCTGTTGCAGAATTTCAGTTTATTTTTCTAGATCTTGTCCGTGTAAATTTAAGATTTTAACTTTAAAGCCCTCAAACAGAATTCTTCCTATTTTTTAATTTTTCTTTTGCGAACCCTTTGATCATAACTATATATTTGTTGAATGGGAGATGTGAATAAATGACATCATTTTGTACATTTTTTACACTTGCTTTATTTTTCTAGCAAAATGTCTTTAGTTTTTTAGCTGCTCTATGAAACGAATGTTCCCATTATAAGTATGAATGAAAAGAAAAAGAAGTTTGACATGTGTGGTGCCTTTACTATTATTAATTAATGAAGTGGCTGAAGTATAGTAATCTGAGTCTCAAAATTACTTCGAAATAAGGCAATAAAAATGTTTTACATAATTTCATATTTAACGGAACTTCTGCCTTAATTATTTATACCTTAATATAATAAAACTGCTTATTAGTATAGATACAAATTCTTTATTGACTTTTGTTCAGTGAAATGTTTAGGTAACGTAATTTAATTTAATGTGTGAGTAATTTGAGTTTAATGCTTTAATCTTTCATGTTTACTGAAATTTAAATATCTTCAAAAACTAATATTTAGATTTTATTATTTTTAAATAAGGTGTTTAATTTACAATTTTAACTGAGTTCTCAGATTAGAGTTTAAGCAGGTTTATATGATTCATAAATAAATTTTAGAATAAATTAAAAATATACCAAGAAAAAAAAAAAAAAAAAAAAAAAGGCAATACACATTTTGGAAATTTATGCACAGTTTTTTTTATTTGCTTTGATATACTTGAACGGAGCATAAGAACTCGTAGAATCGTATAATACTGTATAAGTTTCTGAACTTTATTTTTATATGTAGGTAAATAAAACTTCATGTAGCATGATGATAAAAATTAATTTAAAAAACTTACTGAAATTAGGTGGCCTTCAAGGTGCTGCCTCTGTTAGTTCTGAGCAAGAAGAAATGGGATCTCCGAAGTCACCAGAATTAAGTTTTGCTGAAAAAAGAGACTTCTTCCAGAAATTATCACTTTCTTCGTCTTCACCTAGTACAACACCAACTCATAGTTTGAAAACTAATGCGACAACTGAAATGAAAACTGAAGTATACATCTCTGAAGATATTATAGCAATTGCAGATAGTTCTGAGGAACAACTGAGTTTTATGGAACGCTTGAAGTTCTTTGAAAAATCGGATGAACATCTTGTTAAGCCTGAAATTAAAGAAATAAAGAAAGAGGTGTGGACTGTTGTAACAGAAGATAGTGCCAAGAGAATTCAAAAAACAGATGATGTGTTTGAATCACCTGAAAAAGAACGGGAAGTGGAAATTGTAGAAATACATGAAAATATTGTAAAATCTATTAGTAAAGACGGAAAAAGTGTTTCGTTACCTCTTTATGAAAATAAAGAAGTTTTGGAAACTAACAAAGATACTAAAGTAGAAGTTACGGTTAAAAAATTTGTACCTGGAACCGAAATGATAGAAATATGTTCAGTGGAGAACATTCCTGCAGATCAAGATATATTAAAAGAAAATTTCAAGGCTCAGCAGTTGGTTAGTTTATCTTCTACAGTGCATCAGTCTGCGAAAGAAGAGCTTCACCATCCCTCGGAAGTTGGTAAAGTAATGCTAGAAAGCAAGGCTGATGTCGATGATTCGCTCAAAAGTAAGCCAATGTCTGTTCCTCCTTCAGAAACATGCAGTGATGAGATTGATCTTTTAGAGTCGAAAAACGTAGAAGAAGTTTATAAGAAAAAAAGCGTTATAGAAACTTATGAGACAATATCTCGAACATCGTCTGAAGTATCATCTAAAGCTGTTGATAAATCTGCTATTTCAGATTCTGATAAAATTCATCAAACTGGATTGCCACCTTCTGATTTATCGAAATCTGTGATTGAACCTGGTGAATCTACCATTTCAGACGCGAAAGAAGTTTCTGATGAAGAATTTATTAGTAGAACTTACAAGACGATATTAGAGGTTTCTGCTGAAGTACCTAAAGCAACAGTAGATGCATTTAAAAAAGAAGATAAAACTGACAAATGGCAGAGAGAATCTCCCGATTCTATTAAAATTGTTAAAGAAACTATGGAACCTTCTTTAGGTAAAAGTGAGATATTTATTTGTACAGAAGAAACATTAGATAGTGTGAAAAGGATTTTATCAGTTGCTGATGCAGAATCTAACATTGTAATGAGTGAAAGTGCATCGACTTCGACTGTTTTGTGTGATGATCAACAAAAAAGTGTGCTAACTGAAAGAGAGGAACGTGAAGAAATAATTAAGAAAACAGTAGCACATGAACCTGAAGAATTAACAGCTGCTCATTTAGGTATTGATCAACTTAAGCAAGATATTCATTCAAAACCTGATGTAACTCAGAGAGAAATATTATCTGATCATGCTGAACAAATGGCTTCTGAACTGGAAAAAAAGACTGAAGTTGAATTGAAACGAGACAATTTTGAAATACATTCAGATGGTACAATTTCTGATATTGTTCATAAGCAACTTGAAAGTGAAGTTTCACGTGAACAAGGAAAAGAAGCTGAGTTTGGTAAAGAAACTCATCTTGAATCTCACATAGATTCGTCGAAGATAAAAATATTGGACCAGAAAGAGGCGAGCGAAGTAACTACCAAGGAATCAGATTTAGCGTTTAAAGGAAAAGATACGGGAACCAAAAATATTGATATTGAGAAACTGAAATCAAAAATAGAGAATGAAAGAGAAATTGGTTTGCATTTTGATGAGAGTTTAACTCGATCTCTTGGTAGCAACGAAGAAAAATCTGATTCTTGTTTCAGTTCTGTAAGAGATCGCTCTATAGAAATTGAATTTTTACCTGTTCTAGAAGTTTCAGGTGATATAAGCAAGGAATCGGTAGATAAGACAGGTCACGAAGCTTTAGGTACCCCTTGTTCGTTCCATAAACAGATGAGTGTTGACAGCAGACAGAGTGATTTAGATCAGAGCTTAGAAGAACATGAAGAAAAACATTTTGATGATTATGAGATTGAAAAAAAAGCTGATGTTAGTCCAGTTGGTGCTGTTGAAAAAGCAGAATATGAGGAAGTTGAGAAAAAGAAACAAGAAGATATAGAATCAATTATATACAGGGAATCTATTTCTAGAGAAAAAGGCGGAAAAGAAACTTTCCATTCAGTTGAAGTAACACAATTTAAGGAACATTCAACTGAAGTATATAGCGTTCCAACTGAAAAATTGATTGAAAAATTTCCATCGAAAAAGATGCATTTTGAACCTTTAACTGAAGATAAAGAACCAAAATTCCTTCCTCATAAACTTGACCAGTTCCTTGATTCAGTAACTCAAATTGATGAATATGGTGCAGGTATTTCATTACCATCGGATGTGGCTCCTATTCATAAAAGAACAGAAGAATGGATTGATCAGAGTGGTGAATTATTGTTAAAAGAAGGAGCTATGTTAGACACTGCAGATAATGGTCTTTTTGAAGACCGTCCACCGACTTTAGAGGATGAACAACATAAAAGGAGTTCCCCAACTGCTGAATCTTTTGATGATAAGGCTAGAGTTGAGCAATGTGACACTGACGTAATGATGCAGTTACTCGACTTCGTATCCCGAAATGATATCGAGTTAGCTGAAGTTCGCACTGAAGATGAAGCTCCAGATATTGAAGAAGATGTTTCTCCTTCCGCTGAAGAAGAGATATGCACCAAAGTTTCAGGTGAAGAATCTAAAGTTGATGATAAATTGCATAGTAAGGAATTACCTGCAAGCGAAGAGAAAACTCAGGAATGCCTCAAAGTTGTTGAAGCTGAAAATTTGTTACTCTCACCTCACCGTTCCTCATTTGACTCTGTTACTAGCCCGTCAAGGAAAGATATTCCATCAGAAAATATAGACACTATTGTGGAGCTAACAGGTCAAGTAGAAGGTATACATCATATTAGGCAAATTATGCCTCAGTCTTCATTAGAAGTAGAAATCGGAAGTCGTGGAAGTGATGAATTGCAACTTCATGATATTGAAAGAGAAGTAACACCCCTTTCTTTTGTCGAAGAGGAGGAGTATATTAAACATTCTACAGAAGTACCTCATGATGTCAGCAAACCTATCTCTGAGTCACTAAAAGACCAAGGTACACAATAATTCTATGTGGAACTACATTTCATCTTTCGCAATAGGTATCATTTAAAGATGAATATTGCTGCTTCTTATACATTTTAATTTCGCATCTTTGTTTTCTCCTCTTCGTTATTTATTTATTTGGGCTATATTTTGCTGCTACTGCTTTTATGTGGCAGGAGGTTAAGCTTTTGACGTCTATCTTATCCCATATTTGAAGCTATCTTATCCCAAATTTTTGTTTCAAAAAATTATATTCTTTCGCAGTGAAATATTTTAACTAAACTCACACTTTGTAAAAGATACAACTCAGCTTTTAAAAAAGCTGGTTTAATTATTTTTAAAAATTTACATAAATTTTAAACAGTTTGCTGTTTCAAAGTTTAAACACAAACCTGTTCACAAGAAATTTTAATTTTCTGCCACTTTTTTGCTACAAGTTGTTTCAGTTATTATAGTTATGTTGCTTTTTATATCACATATTTTATCACGATTATTTGCAACTTTTAATGAGTTTTGCAATAAAATATATTTTATTATTTTCATGTGTTTGTTTTACTTTCTTTGCTACATGTAATTAAACAGTGTAACGTATAGCTTCTTCAGATATTTTATGTGTTTCTTAAAAGGAACTTTTTCATGCTAAATTTAAGTAATACTTTGGATGTGATAATATCCCCTCCTCTCCCGGGGGAAAAATTGTAATTATTTAAAAAAATAAATTATTCCTCTATGTTTAGTAGCCTATATAATTTATTTTATAAAGAATTTTGGAATATTATCATATCCATTTATGCTATTGAAATCTTCATCCTTTATATAAAGTATGAAATTAAGCAGTTACTAAAATTTACTTCCTAATGTTGCTTTTCATTCAGTTAAGTATTATATTAAAAATAGTGATTAAAATTTTCTTTCAAATATTGCTTTTCGTTCATATATGTTTCGTTTATATTAACATATTGCTTAATACTTTATTAAGTAAATGTCATTTATTATGCTCATTTTAGTGAAAGAAAATTTCTTAAAATGCTTTTGATATTCTACACAAATTCGCTTTCGTATGTTTATTTTCTGTTTCGCGTGGGATTTTTTTATGTCATAAATCTTTTATTTTATTTTTTTCAGGTACGTTATTAATTTTGTCTTCAGTTAACTTTGACACATTAAAATATTTCATAAGTTTAATCAGTATATATTATGGCAATCAAAAACTTAATTTTAAGCCATTCTGGAAATTTTCTTCTGAAATAATCCTAAATGCAGTGGTTTCTAAATAGTATGTTCTCATGCTCATTTTGTGTTATTGATCTTATCGATCAAAGATGTTTTTTTTTTTTTTTTTCTAAATTATTTAAATTTTACATTTTTATAGCAGTCCTTAAGCAGCATTTATCACATGCTTTATATCAAAAATTCAAGAAAAGTAAGCCTCAATATAGTAACAGAAATTAAATGCATGAGTTTTTTTAATTGTTTATAAACATAAAAACTCATTATTAATATCTTAGAAACAAATATAGCAAAAATAACCCATCTAATAAATATTATTTTGAAGAAATTGTTTCAAAGAACATAATAAATGGATGTTACTCTAATACATTAAGTAAATTTTTGCATTTCATTGACTAATTTAATATTACGATTTTTAAGGGAATTTGAGAAATGTTAATTTAATTGCAAAAATTCTCTTATAAAGCTAATTAAAAGTTTCCGTATTATTGTTAAGCAGCTGGTAAAGTGGGCCAAAGTTTTGACCGTTACAAAGTTTGCATTTTAAATGTAATATTTTAATATAAACATATGTGAATTTGAATCGAGCTATTTTATACCTCCACAATCTAGAAACCATTGTTTGATAACTGAAGAGTTTGTCATACTTATTTCAACCTTTAAAATTTAATTTTAAATAATGAGCATATTAATAAAATTCTCGTGGATAATATAAGAAAATGTCAAGAGTTTTATTTTCCAAAAACAAAGAGCTAATTAAGTAATATTTACTGATTTTCTATGTTTTATATATAAAGAAATATAAACTTATATTTTAAAGATCTTTATTTTCAACTGTGCTGTGGATATTTTATTTTAAAAATAGTGCAGTTTTATTCTTACGTTGAATTCTAAAAACTGACTCATATGCATTAATTTCCTTTTTCAGAATTTAATGACAAAAGGCAGTTGGCCAGCCTGATTGCTGAAGAGGGAAAATTAGATACCGAACAGAATTTAGTGAGTGAAACAAAGCAAGAAGAAAAGAAAGAGGACATTATGGTACGTTCTGTAGATAAATCTGTATCTGAAGAGCGAGAGCAGGAAATAGTTGACCAGTTCCAAGCAGGTGAAAATGTACTTCGTGAATCATTTGAAACATCCTTAGGTCAACTTGCTGAAGAAGCTGCCATCATTAGCGTTGTAGGTGGTGATACCACAGTGAAGGAAATTACAGAGCAGTCTGTTAAAACCACCGCGAAAAAATCTAAACCTGTTGAATCTGTTGTTTCAAGTATTGATGACATTGTTTCTGCAAGCCCTGACCATGCATTAGAGTCAACTGAAATTCCTTTTGCAGCTGATGAAAGTGAGTTACCGATGGATCGTCCATTATTATCTACAAAAACTGATATGAAGCCTGGAGAAGGTATTCGAAAATTTTAATAGTTATTTCAGTTCACAATTTGGAATATATTAATTACAAATAAAAATTAATGCTCTTTAGTAATTTTGTAATTAACTACATATTTAATTTCATAATTAATGTAGTAATTAATGATTTTTAGTGAACGATAAAAAATATTCCATTTATTTCCATATTTTCATATATTCTTGATTACATTAGGATAAATTTCATATAGTTGTGCCTCGCATTATGATTGCTGTTCCAAAATGCCTTTCGTTATGGCATAGGTTAGTGTGAGAATAATTTTAATGCGGTCCCAGTCCCTAGTCAAATCACGAAACATTGCACAAAAAATTTCAGCTTGAGAAAGTGTGAGAAAATCCACCAGTATTGGAAATGACAAAAATTTACTCTTTATTAGTTATAATGTTGTTAGGATTATATTAATTTTTTATTTGTAAACATATTTACGTATACTTTTACTGATATTTACTCGCAGAGTGTTTTACTTCAGTTTAATTTGAATCTTAGCAGTCTTCCAGTGGACATGAGTATGCCAGCTGCCCTTGTCCTTCTTCACTTCCTTCTGCTTTGGTTTTTTGCAATGCCGAAGGTGCAAGAAATTATTTGCAGTGATTAGTATCTTCCTCTTCTGTAGAATAGTTCTAAAGTAGTTCATGGCTTTTGTTATTGAACTGCTGCTTTGTTCACCTCAGGTTGATAGGAATACTACTGCTTGGTTGTGGCTTGGATTTCTTTCCACTTCTTGAGATAGTTCTCGATGGTTGCAATAGGATCCCCTCGTGTTCTGTTCTATTCGAGAAAAGCTTGCAGTTTTTCAGTGATAATATAATATTAAAAATTATGCGCACAGTCTCATTATCTGTTTTTATGCTCAAACGTATCTTCTGCATCCGCGTAAACAAAAACGGAGAAAAATTATACACGTTTAACATATTAATAAAGGGTGATAATACTCGCTTGCTATTCATTGCGCTAGACCGAGTTCGTTGTACAGGATATTTTTCAGGCTCTGAGGGCATTAATTATACAGGGCGTTCACTATGCGAGGCACCATTATACTGACATTTAGAACTTTATGTGTTATCTAACATATTTTTGTCTCCATAATAGCACTATTTCCCCCCTCTTAATAATTGTGCTTACTATATGTTTTTTCACTAAATAATAGCGTATAAATAATAATATTTCAAATGCGCATAAAATTTGCAGTATTAAAATATTAATTCTTTGCTATTAGCATTTTTGACAGATAAGGTAAATATTTGTTTGTATCCACTGTACTAGGATTCAAAAGCTCGCAGTCATGATCTGTAAGTCCTAATTTCTTGTAACTCTGAAACACGTTTAACTGGAAAATAAGGTTCTTTTTTAGAAATGAACTGTTGTTAGATTTACCCCCTTTTTTTCGTCACCATTTTTAGGGCACTTTAACAATCCATTCTTTGAAATGACTTTCAATTCAACCAGTGTTGCATTTTTCAAATCTTGCGTGTTGAAATTAGATGACCCGTGAAATAGCAACCAGATCTACTAGCTACACTCAACAGCGCATCGAAAGAAACATTACCAGGAATCTTGCTTTTCAGGATATCTAATTGGCTAACTTATCCGAAAACCAGTTCTTTGGTGAAGAGCTGTGCGAGCCAGTGCATGCGCATTGAAACATTTTCGCTAAAGTTTCAAATGTTCCGTGTACAAAATTTCGAGTGGGACTGTTTCGGCTGCAAAACCTCCCATTTAAATCAATGTTGAGAAGAAAAACGTTTTTCGAAAAACTTTGGCGTCGTTAGATGCGATAACCCTATAAGTCAAAGTATGCTTGTGGAAAAACAGGCTAAGACCCGTTAGGGGGAAGTTGTATGAGGTAAATATGGCGGGTGAAAAATTTTCTATTTAAAGGAGAAAGGGGGAACCACGAGAGACATTTGGGCATGAGTATTTTCATGAATAGGAATAAATGTATTCAATGAATGGACTCAAAATTGATATCAAAGAGAACTTCTGATGGTAACTACTAATATTTTTAGATTAATAGTTGTCATGAAGAGGTATGCTTAATCAGATTCGATGTGATCAGACTTTTCAAGACTTCAATGGAAAAGAACCCTCGCCTTCTTACAGTTTTTGAGGAATTTATGCTTGCTTAAAGAAGGCAAGTTAGCAGACGTCTTTTGAGAACTACCGGAAAAGTTAGTACTATTCAAAAGCTGTTGTACGGAGTATTCTCGCCGCAAACTTGTTTCAATATTGCTTTAAGGTTTGCTCTGAACGTTTGCCAAAGTATGTAGAAAATGAGCTATTTAGTAAATACTACTTTTCATAAACTGGTCACAGAATACTTGACTAAAAATACCTGGAATTACCGGAAGGAGCACCAGACATAACTAGGCGGAACTTCATCGCAGTTGAGCTTAGTTAGACCATGACTGAATCGAGTGATCTACTTACTACATATAGATATTCTCCTATGCAGTCAGTCCCCGAATTTTTGGATCCTATGACATACGAAAAGTATTAATAATTTAGAAAATTTATTGTAGGATAATAGAGTAAATAAATAAAAATAGAATTCTATTAACATTTTTTCTTGGTTTATATTTTGTTACATCATTTTTAGGTATAAAATTGTTAGAGAAGTGAAATAGAAACCGAGACAAATATCAACAAAATGCTTTTTCGATTTTTCTGTATATATATATAAATTTAATAAATACAATATTATAATCCCATTCATGTAAAGTAAATGAATTTTAAATTATGCAAATTCATGACAACTACTTATCTAAAAGTATTAGTAACAATTTATTTTGCAAACAAAATAAATTGATTAATTATTGCTGCGAATTAATTTGCAATATAATTAAATTCAGAAAATATAACTAAATAAAGTGTATGCATGTAAATGCAAGAAAAGATAATACATTCCTAAAATTTTATCTTGAAAAATTAAAATTTTTTTAAAAATAAATTTTAATCCGTAAAGTGAATAATTGTTGATCAGGCAGGAGACAGATCTTTTCAAGGGGAGGTTGCCCTCAAACCCAACTCTACAATTACCCAATTCGTGTTTTGTCATCTATATAGGTATGGATTAAGAAATACGCAAAAGCAAAAGGAGTGATATATTAAAATGAGAAATTTAATATTTAAGAAATTTTCGAGAAATTTAGAAAACAAATCCGTTATAGAAAAATATTATTGTAATTAAAAGTACATAAGCAAAGTAATTTAGAATCCCAAACTTTCGTGTGGGAGACGTACCCAAACTTATATAGGTACTTCTCCCACACGAATTATGCATACAAACCAAAATAAACTAATAATGTAAAATAAAACACTTATTCTAAACATCATAAAAGTTGCAAGAATAATAAATGAAATATAATATAAAATAATTACAATCTAAAATAATATAAAAAGGCAAATAAATACTTAGCTGCAATTTAACTTACTAGGTTACCACATTATTCTAGTTTAAAACGTTGCTGAACTGTGTGAAGTTGCGAAGTTTATAGCTGCAAACTGTGAAAACAGAGGACATTGATACTATGTCAAGTTGAGTAGTATGAAGCTACAAACTGTGTTAGGTATTGTAAAAATGTAGTTGCTAAACTATTATATTATTGTAATAATATAAGTTTTGTGAGAAACAAATGAAAATGTAAATTTTATAGAAAGGGAAATTTATAGAGTAGGTATATGGTAAATGCTAATAATGCAAAAGAAATAGAAAGCTAATGTTTCCAAATTTTGAACATAGAATGAATTAAAAAATTGATAAAAATTGATAAAAAAATTAATACAATTTAATTAAAACTGGTTTTAAACTAACGTTTAATAAAAACTTTAACTAAAAGGTAAGGAAACAGTAGAAAAAGTTAAAAATCTTTACTCAATTCGAGCTATAACTAAGACTTGAGAAAAAATCTGGCCCTTCATACACACACATTTATGGAAAATGAAATCCCAATACCAAGAAAAAAAATCAGTTTAGAAGAATGAAATGTAGACAAAGCATTTGTTTGTGTAACATATTATTATTTAATTAGTGCTGTAAGGTCACAACTTAAAGTTTGCCCGAGAAGACCCATTTCAAATGTGAATTCGTGATACATTTATAACCGCCACGATGCATTTGCCGCGAAATTGAATGCAAACATGCATTGTGTCGTGAAGGTGCCGTATATTATTTTGTAGGATGGAGTTTCATGCCCGTTGCTCGTGGTCAGTCAAATCAGCAATGATCTTAGCTGGTTTTGTATGACGCTGAATTTATAGTCCATTCATGTCCCCATGTCCCATATGTCTCCCGTACGGGTAAAAGATCGGATGATCTCGCAGGGCAAGACCAACATGTTGACACTCTGCAGAGCACGTTAGGCGATACCAGTATTATGGGGGCAAGCAATTATCCTGTTGAAAAATGGCCTCTGGAATATTGCTCATGATTTGCAGTACAACCGGTGCTATCACCAGTCTGATGAACAGATATGCTGTCAGTGTGTATGGAATAACAACGAACGTGCTCCTGCTGTAATACAAAATTGCTCCTCAGACCATAACTCCTGCCTTAGGTTCAATGTATCTGCGCCGCAGACAGGATAGTGCAAAGTATTCACCTATTCTCCTTCTAACCAACATACCACCATCGCCGGCATCAGTACGGAAACGACTCTCATGTGAGAACACAACAAATCTTCACTCCGCCCTTCAAAAAGCTCTAATTTGACACTGCCGGAGTCGCAGATTGCGGTGATTTGGGGGCTACAGGACATATGCCTCGCAGCTTTCCCTCAAGTAATCGATTTTCGACAGTCCAATGAGTCACTTTGGTGCCAATAAAAGTTGGAATGCGTACTGTAGATGCATTGAGATGCGGCGCAGACATGCGGCTAATACGGCGATCTTCCCTTTGAGTGGTGGCACGTCTGTGGCCGGGCTCTAGTTTTCGTGCGACAGTACCTCCTCTTGATTACTGCTGTGAACAGCCATAGACAGTGCATACATTCCTGCTAAGTCTTTCTGCGTGTCGCGAAGGAAATACGTCTTCTCATAGCCTTCGTTCAAATTCAGTAAGCTGCCTTTTCCATCACCTTAAAAGTATGCTTGACTCAAATCTCGCTCACAGTGCCCATTTCGGAAGATAAGTAAAGCATGAGAAATTTGCATTACGTGTTTAAATAAAACGTTATTTGCATGTTCACAATCGCTGTGCTAGCACTACATTTCTTTGTTTAGCGAGAAATTTGAATAGACGTCATCTTTCAGATGTGCAAATACACCTCGCAAATTTTGTTTCTCTGTCACAACTCCTTCGTGGTATTGTGATTTCATTTTCCACCTGTACACACGCACACACATATATATATCTTACAACATTTGCAGAGGAAATGCAAGAAACATATGACCATAGCAGTATATATGAGACACGTTTATAGATTCAGTAAGGAAAATAATTGCTTCTTATGAAAGCAACCTACCTAAACGTAAACTACGTAAACCTAGCCATAGCTAATTTATTTTATTATTATTTTTTTATGGTTAAATTATATATGTAAACTTGTCTACTTATGAATGAAGTAAATAAATAAGTAATGAAGGTTAGTTTATAATAGTCTAATTTTATATATTCTTGTTTATTATAATGTATAGCATCTTTTTCTACTGTATTACATAAATAATATAGAAGTTATTGATTTGAGATTTGTGTGCATTATTTTTAAAGACTTTTACCCAGGGTGAAAGAGAGAGGGGAGGAGAAAGTTTCTTTTAATTTTTTCCTTTAAAAAAATAATAATTAATTAAATTTTTTTGTAGAAGGCATCACTTAAGCATTTGTTGAATTTCGTCATAAAATTAATACACGATATTATTTCGTCTTTATTTGAGCATAGATCATATTAAAAATATCTGCATTGTATCCTACGGTACTTTTGTAGAGCATTAAAGTTTGAGGCCTTGGATTTTTGCGTAGTTTTTGGAGCCTCTGAACTTCCTGGTGTATCTGTCATTGTTTCGTATTTAAATATTTTTTTTTAATATAACAGATAAGAATGTAGCCTAACTACGTTAAAGTAAGTCTCAAGCTTTCCTTCTATATACTATTCCTTGGTCAAAATTCCTTATTTGTAGTAACGTCACTCAAAGGCAAATAAACGCTATTCCAGTACATCTTAGATACTGAAATATATGCTGAAAAAGGTTTTGCATCATTCATTAATAACTCATTATTTGGAACACTCTGTAAGTGAGAGAAATAATTGAAAAAAGAAAAGCAGTTATTTCGGTTTATTGTATTTTTATACAATCATTAATTTTATAGAAGATAAATTTGAAACTGTACATTAAATAGGAATTAATAAGATAAATAATATTTTAATTTTGCATTTATATGTGGTGTATGTATTTATAGATTGATAGATAGAGTGGAAGAGGGAGAGAGAGAGAGAGAGAAAATATATGTATGTGTATATGACTGTTTGTGTATATAAAGTAAATCCAAATGTAAACGTGCATGCATTTGTGCTAGCCTTCTTTAAATGCACTAAATGTACTCGCGTACAAATTGCTTGAAAAATAATTTAGTGTAATTTAATTAAATGCTATGTATGGCTGCATATTGTATGGCTTTTTTATGTTCGCTAACAAACTAACAATATATTACTAACATTTTAGAGCATGTTCAGGATAGGAAGGTGGAAATTATCCAAGAAGAATTTGTGCATGAACTGAAAACAACTGATTTGAAGCATGAGCAGTATATCCAGCCAATCCAGGAATTTGAAAGCGAATTGATTCCTTGTGCGTTTGTGAACACAGCATTTGCTGGCGCAGAATTAATTGATGAAGTAGAGCAATCAGCTTCCATTCGCGCACGTAGTCCGTACGAAGTAATTCGTGAAGAGCAATCTTCGAAAATTGACCAGAGGGAAGAATTTTCTGTGCCGGAAGAAACCGAAGATCTTCGAAATAGCAGTAAAATAAGTTTCGTATCGAGACACGCAGACATACATCGACGGCCTATTTTACAGCATATCCCTTCAGAAATATCAGAAGAAGATTTAGTTGAAAGAGAAATCACATCTCCTATAAGGCAAGACTTTGAAGTTTTTGGTGAAGATGAAATCAAATTATCTGAAATTGCTTTTAATGAAGTATCTTTCCAATCATCTCAGGATTTAATAAAGGATGAGTTCAGTGGAGAAGCAGACACAATGCATAGTAAAAAAGAAACCACAACAATAGTGAATGGAAATATTATAAGCGAAAGTGTTGAGGAAATTTGCTCTTCCCCTCAAACAACAAGAATCGTAACTACCACCGTGAAAAAAACAGTGATTAAGACTGTTTCTGAACTTGATGCTAGTGGTTCTGGAATGAATGGTGACGATGCTGTAGGTACAAAATTACCACCCCATGAAATTGAACTGAAAAGTGAAACTTCTGAATACGTTGCCAAAACAGATGATGCCACCACTCCAGAGTCAGATACTGGTATACCAACAAGTCCATTCGAGGTTTTGAGTGAGAGTGAGCTAAGTGATGGGGAACACAGAAGTGCACATATTTCAATGTCCCCAACTGTACCTAAAAGTAGTACCGAGAAGTCTCATGATTCGGTAATTATGACAATGCATTCCCAAAGCTTTACTGATAAAACTATATCCGCTGGTATTTCTAAAGATTTTAGTGATAGCGAAACATTAAATGAAAAATCTCAGTGTGAGGAACTGCAGTTGCAGTCTGAAGGAGAAGCTGTTTTACCTGCTAAATTATCATCCGGTATACAACATGCGTCTGATGAACATCAAAAATTAGATGCAACTCGTGTTTTAAATGGTCCGGGTGAAGTTGATTATCATAAAGAATATGATTATGATAGTGAATTTTCACAAACAGTAAGTTATGAAGATAATTGTATCTTCGATGATATGTCATGTACTGAACCACGAGCATACGAAATTCAAGAACCTGAAGACGTGAAAAAAAGTCGGTACAGTAGTATTTCAGATGATGGTGTAGACATGGAGATAAATGAAATTTTAAGATCAGAACAGCAATTAGAAGACATAATTGAAAGACCCGTTACCCCCGAACCTCCCAAGGAAGGATTATCGAATGCCTGCACTGAAAAACTTGGATTCGATTTATCGCTACCGTGTGCTGCACTCGAAGATGACTATGTAGTGTCTGATGACGGAGATCAAATTGTTTCATCACCTGGTTTTAGTCCAGATGATTCGAAGACTCGATTCGCTTATGGTATAGAGTTTGAAAAGGAGATTTTGGATGTTCCCGAAGAAGCTATGGATATTGATAGTGATCAGTATAGCGAGGAAAAAGAATCATCGTATGCTTATGCTATGCGATTCGAAAGAAATCCTGAACTGGATGAAGAAGATATTCCTTGTTATGGTGACTTGTATACTCACGAAGAAGAAGATGAAGATGCACTAGAAAATGGGGACAAAATTAAAGTAGTTTCTAAATCTGATAAAGATCCGGAATTTGATATTTTAGCTGGTCGCAAATATTTCTCAAAAAATGTTGAACTTGATGATTTATCGATGTCTTCTCTTCAGGAATTTGAACGTATCGAAGCTGAAATTGTTTCAGGTCGAAAATCTAGTATTGGGTCTTTGGATTCACTGAATGGAAAACCCCCAGTTAGTAAAAGTGGAGAACATGATGATGTTTCAATGAGTTCTTTAACTGAATTTGAACGATTAGAGAGAGAATGTACCGAATCCGAAAAAATAGACCCAGCAATGCAAGAAAGTATTACACAGCTGTCAGAGATTGAAGAAGGGCACGAAAGTCAAGCATCCGAAACTAGTCAGGAAAATAAATCGGATGTGGGTAAAGAAGAAGACCTGAGTATTGTTGAAGATTACAGTAATCAGCTTGAAAGTATTGAGGAAATAATGTTGGAAGCTAAAGATCAGCTACCTTTCCAATATCTTATTAAGAAAACTCAAATAATTGACAAATCCTACGAGGGAAAAGCCGAAGAACAAACAACTGAAGATGAATCTTTAAGTATTGATGTACAATCTGCTGATACTAAAATTAAAGATCGTATTCATAGTAGTAATGTGGAAGTGCGTACTATGTATAAAACATCTGAAACAACCTATCTAGTTCCATCCGGCGAGACACAAGATGATGATTTTAACAAAAATGTAAGGGATGATGATCTAGATCAAGATTCTTTGCATGACGATCAAGATTCTTTACAGCAAATGCTTTCTTTAAAACCCGATTCTCTTACTGAAGACATAAAGCATGAATTCCAGGACTCCTTACGAGAGGAAAAATTTGACGATGCTGATTCACTGCAAGGAGAAATTCCCGATGAAATGCGTGATTCTCTTTTGGAAGAGAGACATATAGAAGATGATTCTCTTCGAGATATGGATATATTACCAGATGAGTCATCATTATCTCTGGAAAGTAGCATTGCTGCTGTTATATCTCATGATTCAAGTAAAACAGATGATCGTGTAAAAGTTAAAGATCAAACTGGAGAAGTGCATGAAGTAACTAAGCGTTCTAGCTTGGGAAGTGCCCTAGAATCTTTTTTGACAACCGAAAAAGCAGAAGTAATTGTTTCACATTTGCCTAAAGGGGATTTAATGCTGTCTAGTACAGATTCCTTGGAACAAAGCAGTTCTGCTGCTGCTTTTCACTTAGAAACTGATACTGCTATGTCTTCGAGTTTAAATAGTGCAATTACATCAGAAGATTATACCATGATATCTAGTACTGATACGCTAGAGCAGGAAGGAAGAATAACTTTTAGGTACGAAGACATACCAGTTGATGAATTAGAAGTAATTATTAGGGATGGCCGTCAAGTTATAGTTGATTCTGAAGGTAACATTCAAGCGCAGTATGATGCAAAACACTACATAGGAGCTGAAGATAATGTAAACAATACTTTAAGTTTCTCATCTAAAGACTTGTCAACCGTAGAACATCCTTCAACCAGTACTGTGCAGGTCCATTCTGCTGTTACAACTGTCAGTTATATTGGTGAACCGCAGAAATTTCAAAGTCATAAAATATTTCATTCTGCAGCTGATCAAGGAACTAGTGATTCAGAATATGAGTCTTCGCATTTTGATCCTGATGTTGAAGTAGAAGAAATTCATACCACGGATGAATTTGGAAATCCTAAAGTAATTAAGAAAATTAGAAGGGTCATCCAAACTAAAAATCAGTATTCCTCGTCTTCTTCCTCTCAAAATGTGGAAGAAAAATTGAAGGAATTTCTGAGAGAACATTCCGCTGGTGAAAGTGCTGGTTGTGGTGAAGAAGAAATAAAAGAAGAGAGAACTATAGATGATAAAGGTAATGTTGTACTTATTCGAACTGTGCAGCAACAGATACTTTCAGAACCACAAGTACATTCCAGAACTTTCAGGGGACCTGATGCTGATACTCATTCTCGTGAATTTATAGAGACATTTCAACAATTGGATCCAACTGAAAATGTGTGTGAATATGAAAAAATAGATGAACAGTGTAATGTTGTAAGGGTTACTCAACAAGTTGTTGTGAAACCAGAAATGCACACTGTATCTTTCAGTGGTCCTGATGCTCATAAGCAAATGGAGGAATATATGAAACAATGGACAGCAATGTCTCAAAGTAGGGAGGACTATGATGCTGCCAGACTACCACATTTATTCCAGAGTACTCACGTGTCCAGCTCCAGGGAAGAACCTCAGGAATATATGCCTTCAGGTATAAGACTTTTTCTCCTTTATTTTTCTTTGATTTTTTCTGGATCTTGCATTTGTTTACTAAAAAATAACGCCAAAGGCATGAATGATCTTGTCAAGCTTATTTTAACCGTTAATAACTTTTAAAAAAATGTTCTGTTTTTTGGAATTCTGTCATGTTTATGTTCTTAACAATTCATCAATCTTAATGTATTTATTAATATTGCATTTTTGACAGTTGTTGCCCCCATAATTGTAGGTCAGTGATTCGTAACTGAAAGAGCCTTCATTCATAGGAAGCACAAGATAGACTTTTAAGGGGATCTAATGAAATATTGTTTGTGATCTTGAATAATGAGTTCTGAATTGTACATCATATACTAGGAACAGATGTATAGTACTTTATAAAAATTATATTAGAGTAGATGTATAGGAAAACTAAACAAATATTTATTAGATGTGTGGGACGTAGGAAAAGTTAGAACCACTGTTGTAGGGCATGTCATACTGTTATTTAGGATTGCTACGCGATTTGTGTATTCTTTAATATTCTAAATAATTTTAAGTATAAATAAGCTAGTTTTTTCAAATTCAGTATGAACTTGTAAACAAAAATTATTTGAGTACCCATAAAAAAATTAATATAATACAGGCTGCCCATCACTAATACAGCATCTTAAAGTGACGGATGGATTTAAGCAAACCGTAACGCGCTGCAAACGCCTGGGAAAAATCCCTCCTCATGATAGAGTACTCTTTTCTATAATATCATTTCTCCTCTACTTGAGGCAATTGCCTTGGCGCGGTTAAGTTTAAGGCTACATCTCTATACTCTTACTAGTTTACATTTTGTTTTCAGCACTGAATTAGGATTTCAGCTTTTAAAAAAGTGCGTCTTATGTATGTGATACCATGAATTATATTTCTTACTGCAAGTGATATTTGGTGAATTTAATGTAAACGATGCAGCATATTTGCAAGAGAATGAGAACAATAGTTGTGTGTAGGCTAATTTCCGTAAATGTGGGTTAACTATCAGTTCAATTGAAGTTTATGGACCAACTGAATGGGAGTTTTCACCGGATGTCACTGCAGTAAGAATATAATTCATGGTAACACATAAGACGCATTTTTTTAAAAGCTGAAATCCTAATTCAGTGCTGAAAACAAAATGTAAACTAGTAAGCCTATAGAGATGTAGCCTTAAACTTGAACTGCGCCAAGGCGATGGCCTCAAGTAGAGGAGAAATGATATTATCGAAAAAGTATTCTATCATGAGAAGGGATATTTTCCAGGCGTTTGCTGCGCGTTACGGTTTCCCTAAATCCATTCATCACTTTAAGATGCTGTATTAGTGATGGTCAAACTGTATCATATTACCGATTTGTATATAATACAGGTTGGGCTGTGATATTGCGGATTTTAGAAATTATGGAAAACCAATTCACGCTTGAGTTACGGGAAATACATTTTCGCTTAAAACTGGTACAACACCATGGCTGCTAAACGCGCCTCACAAGTTCGATATACGTAGACATTTTAGACAAATAAATAAAAATGACGAAGCGAGAGATGTAGTTTATTTCCGAAGCAGACGAGGAAGGATTAGCATGCATTTTGCATGCTGCGTTCCGACTATCATAAGTTATTATGTTTGGAAGAACGCTTCAAGTAGACAAATGCTGAACCGTGGGTCCAGAAGCACAAGTTAGGATGTAAATGAGGAAAAGCAATGCTTACAAACTTTGGGTTGTAGCTATAGTCGAAAAGTCATATTAACCTGAGCAGCGTTTGTGCTAAAGGTGTCACATTGGAGAGAAATTGTTGGGAAAATGTGACGTGACATGCGGCAAAGTGATGCAAAAAGTATTGAAACAAGGATGTGTTTAAATAAAATTTTCGAATTTGATGATCTATTGCCAGTTCATTCCAATTTAGTTTAGTTTTGTGTCATATTTTGCATATATATACATGTGCAAAATATGTATATATATCACACTGTAGATTCGCTACCAGACCGACAAACTTGCAGGGTGTGTAGGGGATACAAAAATGACTCGAAATCACATAGGATAGAAATGCAGAGTAGCAAATGCCGTAGTTGCGAGCTATGGTGCAAAGAAGCAGAGAAAAAGAACAGAAACAACAACACATTAGTGAGACAGAGAACATTTCATTAAACGTTTGTGCTACAACAGGTGTTTGAAATTACGACCAGAAGTCGTCTGGCGGGCTTTACACAGCGCTGCATGGAATTCCTTACGTTCTGGAAGATCTCTGGCATGTCACGTATCCTCCCGGCAGTTAGAGATATTTGAGCGACGAGGTCTCCAACTGAAAAAACGGGTGTCTCGCATGCCAAACTCTTCATGTGACTCAGAAAAATAAATCCATTCATTATAGGTTCGATGATCTGGCAGGCCAATGAACCGGGCCCCTTCAAAGGTTACATCGAGATGTCGGCGGACGTTAGCCGTGTAATGTGGAGGAGCCTCGTCATGCTGGTACCACATAGAGCGGCGCAACAACGGAGGTATATGTGCTGCGTCAAGAAGTTTAGGCAGGACTTGTTGCAAGATCAGGTATGCCTTACCGTACAAAGGACTGAGCAGAAGTTATGGTTCAATGAGGTAGCCTCCAAGAATACTGGCCCAAACATTGATCGAGAAATGCTCTTGAGCTGCACGTGGTTGCGGACGATGAAGGTTCTCCAAAGGACACACATGCACGTTATGCTGATTGAAGGCACGTGTGAAGTATGCTTCATCTGTGAACAATACGGATGCAGCAAATGCGCCGTCTGTAGCAGTTTATTGCAGGAACCATATAAAAAATGTCCTCCGAAGTGGATAATCCTCAGGCTCTAATAATTGGACGCCGTGAAGATGATATGCGCTCATTTGGTTTGCTGCGAGTATCCTCCAGATAATGGATTGAGGTAAACCCACTTGTTGGGCTATCACTCGAGTATTCGTACTTGCCTTGTCTTCTGTCAGACGTAAGATCGCCTCCTCATTTGCCAGGTGTCCTCGTCGTTCGCTGTCGATTCATTGTAGCTGTCGTTATACAACCTGTTTCAACCAGTTTCACGTATCTTCTATTGACACTTTCGAAGGTCGTGTGATGTGGAGCATGCCTCTTCGGGTAACATTTGTGGTACAACCACCGAGCGGCGTTGTCCGTTACCATCCGCAGCTCCATACACGATCAGCATGGCAACCAGTTCATCCTACTACCTCGGGAAACGGATCGCAAGTGACGATTTCCAGCAGAATCGCTGCTCACACAACCTTCCGTTTACCAAGAGGAATCTTCTAGAACATAAGGAATTCCACGCGCAGCCGCAATCTGGTCTGCCTGACTGATAACTTCTGGTTGTAATTGCAAACACCTGTTATAGTACAACCTTTCAATAAATTGTTTTCTGTCCCATTAATGTGTTGCTGTTCCTGTTCGTGTTCTCTGCTTCTTTGCACCATAGCTCGCAACTACGGCATTTGCGACCCTGCATTCCTATGCGATTCCGAGTCGTATATATACCCCCTACACACCCTGCAAGTTTGTCGGTCTGGTAGCAAATCACCCTATATATATCTGTGGGATTTTAAATCCTTAATAATTTTCCTTGCGCGCTGTCTAAATTTTAGCTGTTAGCACAAGTGAAATTGATAGAACTTTCGCCACTTTGTTTTATTAAGAGCTATAAGATGTTATGGATGTTGCGTTTAATATATATACGATGATAAGATGTTGTTTTATAGATGTAATATGATATAGATGCTGTATTAATAGATGAACGATCTTATACATGTATTAATATTTTATTAAATGTGTTTTGTTTGAACATGAATTGTGATTTTGAAACTAAAGAACCCACATATCTGTACATATAAACTTAAAGTATCTAAATTTATTATTAAATTGTAATAAAAGTAAGGCAATTCCTCTATATTATAATAATTGCAGCCGTGTGTAAGAGGTTTAACGGAATATCTAAAATCCAATTAAAGAAAGAATTCATAGTAGAACAAAATCGAAAAATAAAAATGCGAAAGGGAAAAATGTACAAAATTATGCAAATAAAAATTAATCTCCTTTTATTGAAACTCCAATTCAGAACTCATCAGGGGAAAAGGAATTAAAGCTTCATAAAAGTCGATTAATTATGCTTCGAAAATATGTTTCGTTCTCCTGGTCCATTTGAGATCAAAACCCGTAAAAATACTTCATCAAATTTTTATTAAAGGCTTTAAAATTCATATAAAACCGAAAACTCGAATCTCAAATGTACCAGAATTTTCCCTTTACATTTTCGAAACTCTTGGAAAAAAGAATAAAACATAACATTGTGCCAAAATGACAATTGAAAAACCAAAGAACTTCACATTATGCACCTTGAAATTAAAAAAAAATAATAATAATAATTTGGTCTAAAACCAATATATGCTAATCCGAAGCTCAAAAGCAAGTATAAATAAAGAGCAAAATTAATAGTCACTAAAAGAAAACTAAAAAACTTGGGAAGTTCCCGACTATGTTAAACTAAACTTTTAAAACCAAGAAAACGAAAAACTATACATAGAGATTTCTATAAATAAAAAAATTCAAATCTGAGCCTTAAGCAGCTAAAAATTGAAAACCTATTTGAAACTATAATTGAAAAAAACTTTAAAATGCAGACTTGCTGAAATCTTAACATGACTTTGAATGCATAATCTAACTGAATTCTAAAGATGACCAAACTGTCTTCTTGCTAAAGAAAGTAGAGTTCAAATTGCTGTAGAGAAGCTCTTACAGAGAGCAGCTTCTTTTAGAAGTTTCTTGCGCCGCCATTTTGGGTTGACCATCACATCCTCCTTGTCGGTAATAATTATTACAGACCGCACCCAACCATTGACACCCTCGCACACAAAGTATAACAGGATAAGTCATTTTGAACACATGTTAAAATACTTAGTTCTGCTACCGGACACTTTGAACATTATTGCATACTTTTTCCAAGAACTAAAATTTTGGCTTCTCTCTTTCCTTTGCAAATCTAAACTCTTTCCTCCGGCAATAGTATTCCTTTATGTTATCATGTTTTTCCCTAACATGTCGCATTAATATGCAGTGTTCGACGAAATGTCGTGCATTGCCTTTAGCACTACAAAGACTATTATTTTACAAATTAAATCATTTCAGGTACGCCGGAAAGCGCCCGTGTACAGTAATTATTTGATTGTAATTAAAATCACATATCATTCTCGTATTTTTAGAAACTTCAAAGTTCAATAAATAATCTTCCCTTTTCCGAGAAATGTTCCATTTCTCTTTCCAGCAATCAAAATAGAAATCCTTGATTTCACCAATTACCATTCTTTTTGACGCCTGAGTATCGAACACATCCTCGACATTACCCATAGCAGGCTCTTAGCCAGTATGTCGGCTCTCTCATTACCTATAGCACCAATATGGGCTTTCACCCAGTTCATTTTCACTTCATGTATTTTATCAACTTTTACAGGAAGATGTTTCATATATGAGACCGAAATATTAGTGTCATCAGCATCCGCCAGTGCTTCCAAGCTAGATAATGAGTTTGTATATATATATTAACGTATGATTTTTACTGTCAGGTTTTCATCAATCCATTTAAGAGCAAATATGATAGCAGACAATTCGGCTTGAAAAACCGAATTGTAAGGTTCAAGTCTAATTTTGCCATGGTCTATTTCTATACTAAACAAGTAAACCACATATGCTGCACCAGTTCCTTTGTCATAACCCGAACCGTCAAAAAATATATCCAATTCTCCTACGCAAACATTTGGTCTCTGATATTCCGCTGCTTTTCTTAATGCAGGATGTGTACTGTTAATATTGAAGACGGAAAAACATATATTATATGCAGTAAAACCTTTATGAGCCTCGGCTATAAACTTTTGCCTCAATATAAACGACTGACGGCAGCATGATCTGAATAAACTGTTATTGGGGCATTTCCAAAAATTTCTGCACTACTAATAATACGGCAAGAGTTTCTCGTTCTGTTGCGATGGAATTCCCTGGAGCTGGGTTCAGCGTTTTACTCAAATACTCTATTGGCTGACTGTTTTGAGACAGAACGGCGCCAACTGCATAGTCCGAAGCATCAGCGATAATACCGGTCCCTTTCCTAGGATTTCAATATTGGAGCACTGATTAATGTCTACTTCATTTGCTCAAGTTCTGTGTTCATCTCAGCCGTCCATGTGAACCTTTTTTTTCTTTTCAAAACTAGTAAAAGTATATTAACAAACTCTTTTTTGAATAAACGATAATAGTAGGACATGTTTTTTTTTTTTTTTTTTTTTTTTTTTTTTTTTTTTTAGTGTTGGGACGCAGATAATTTTTGATTGCTAAAATTTTTCCTTTCGATGCCATTTGTGAGATTTTATATCCAAGATATCGAAGTTCATTAGCTGTTCATTTACATTTTGAGGCATTTACTTTAAGGCCATCATCATTCAATAAAGAAAATACTTTTGAACATGCTGGTCAATTGTTTCACTCGTTATAATAATATCATCAAGATATATAAAAGTACTTTTTCCTAGAACGGGTCTTTGGACAACATCAATCATACACTGAAGTGTTGCCGGAGCTCCGCATGAAACCAAACGGCATTCTTAGTAAGGCATATACTCCGAATTTCGTTATAAAAGCGGTCTTTTAAACATCTTTGTGCTTTACGCCAATTTGAAACTAGCCTGACGTCAGGTCGAGTGTGATCATATATTTCGTAGACTTAATTTTTCAAATAATTTCGTATATAAATTGGCACAGGATATAATCCATAATTGGCTACTGGATATTTCATAATACTATTTAATTTACGTCAGTAAACGGCAGATCGCCATGTTTTGGGATCTAAAGCTGGAAGATCGTTTTTCTTGCACTATTAGATTACCGGATTCGTGTATAGACTACTTGTAGGAATTATAATTTTATTGTTTCACATCTGTGCTGTTCGATAATTTATTCTTTAACTTTATGATAGCGGTAGGGCTTGACTTTTACAGAGCGGCACTATCAGTGTCGATTTCATGACTAACCACCTAGCTGAAACCAGGCTTAGAATCAAATAATTTGTTAAACTTTCTTACCACCGTTTGTAGCTTCTCTTTCTCTTCTTCCGGCAGATGGCTCAGCTCGACTTCAGGTGTTGGACTCAGTTCCCCTTCTATAGTTTCCATTTACACTTGAAAAGTAGAATTCTTAAAATTTAAATTTGCGCATGCCGCGGATAAAAAGTCGACCACCCAGAATTACTAATGTTAATATACATCTTTCACCACAAGAAAGGTAACGTATTGTTATTCATTCTTAATTTGAACGTGCAGGGACGGCGACTACTTTCTGCCCCATAACTTTAAAAATACGATGCCTCCTGAAACGTTTTCTAAAAAAGTCCTGCGACAGGAAACTGAACTGCGCCTCAGTGTCCAATAGAGCAGTCACTGGTATGTTAAGGAAAAGCCAAATTTTGCGCGACCACAGTTTTGCTTTGATGGAGGTGACCGGACCTTCTTCTCGGGCACCCTAATTACTTTAAATGTTTTTGTTTTTTTGCCCCTTGCTTCTACAGTTGCTTATTTTGGTAATCGCCAAATGATTTTCTCTTCTGTCCCACATTTTTGCTACCACCTTTTGCGGTCGCATCTGATTGCAGATATGGATACTGCCTATTTTGTGGTCTCTTCTGGGGCGAGAATCTCGAGTACTGGTGTTTCTTTCACACAAGAAGACGAATGTGAATTGCAGGACCGCTTCAGGAACCGTTTTAGTATCACGCCTGATCATATTTTTTTAAAACGTATTTCTCGTATTTCACGCACTGGCTGCAGATGCTTATTGAATGTTACTTGGCATTTTATATAGAATAATATTTTCCAAGCTTTTTCAAATATTTTTAAGTGCTGAAATAATGTACTGTGGTTATCGTAAATTCTTACAACTTTCATAGTATGTATATGTCTTTCTCATCCTTAGCTTTCTGCTGAGGATCTGTTAGTGAGTTAAACTTCATTCTGAGCAGAAATACCTTCCTGGATAAATATGGCGTTATCTCCTTTTGAATAAAAGTAATCATACTGAAAATTTTTAATCCAGGCCTATTTTATTATTATTATTTTCCTTTGTGAATTGGAGTTTACATTATCTTTTACCAAATCGATAATTAAGTGCTCTAAAACATAGTCAAATAATTATGTCTTACATTTTTTAAATTTTATATTTCTATTGCATTTGTAAATTTACTCAACTGTATTTGAATTTTACTAATGCATTGCATATATGTAAGGAGAAAGCATCAATCAATTGTGATTGATAAGTCAGCGGTAGCAAAATATACTTCTGGGAAACAGTCGTATACATAATAAAGCTGTAATCTTTCAACATCTATATATGTTATTTCAAATTCTAACTTTAGTCTGAATGTAAAATAACACATTTCAGTTGCGTTCTATATTAAAGTTGATTGATAAAGAAGTATTTCAATTCTAAATAATGTGTATATTTTCAGAAGGCTTAGGTTGTGATGTAACTGATGGTCGAACTATCACTAAAACGTAAGTATTGTATTCTTCTCATTTAATATGTTATGACGAATGTGCAAATAACATTTTAAAACTAGAAATATTTAACATTCAATGAAAGAACTGTATTTTAGAAAGCTAAATGTGCTTAACAAACTTGCTGATGCTGTTGTTTGATACTTTTAAAAAATATGATAAAACTTTGTTCAGTAAAACATAGACTGGGGCTAATCATCATTGTACCGCCAGTGTTGCTGTAATATCTCGTAGTACATTTTAAAAAATAAAACGTTATTCAAAAGAACATGGCGATCTATCCTCCTTTAAAACGTCACGTGTGGTGTGAAAGTTGGGAGTGAGCAACTGTAAATAATTTCAATGTGAATAAAACTTTGTAAAAGTATTTTGTTTGCTGCTTCTCTCGGAAAAGTTGCCTTTTTTTTTTTTATATATAACCGCATTGCGGTAAAAATGATATTGTGATGTCACTGATCACCATAGAAAGGTTACATTATGCAATAGAATCCCGCAAACTCGACATTCCGTATAACATGACGACACTTTTTAGGAACTTTTTAAAGTTATCTCTAGGCCAAACAGAGCAAATATTACATACAGTACCTATAATTGTTATTTATGCATATGTCTTTCCTGGTCTGTTGAAGGATTTAAGTGTTCTTTTTCAGTAATTTTTGTCGTTTTCGCATTATGCCATTATTTCTTGAACTGCCTAACAAATTTCAGGATATGTTGTAACACTTAGCAACGCTGTTTGCTTTTTGCGAGGATACGAAGAAACTGAGGTAGCGGCTGGCCGCTGGCTCACATCCCTTTCTATTGTTGCGAAACGTTAGGAGACTTGTCTGAAATTCTGTGACTGCACTTAATTGCAAACTGAAGTCACACCACTTCATTGCGGGTATCGTTCCTCAGTTCACATCCAGGCGTATAAGTGTTATGTATTTTTGAAACTTTTGATATTCTGTGAAGTGAAAATGCAATTCGAAAAGAAAAGAAAAGCTAACGTGACAATGGAAATGAAACTAGATGCTTTAAAAGACAGGACAAAGGGAATAGTTTAAACAAAATTACCACGAATTTAGTTGTTGAACGGACAATGACAACTTTGAACGGACTTTGATAGGATGGAAAAAGGTCCGAAATCGAGACTTGGTGTATGAAAGGAGCCTATACGGATAGTTTAAAGGAGAGAAAAAGTATGAAAGGTAGTGAATACCAAAATTGAGTGAGGCGCTTTATTTGTGGTTCAGGAAGCAGAGGTAACACCAATTTCGGGATGAATTTTACAAGAGAAAACCCTGAAATTTTATGATTAATTTTAAGGAGAGTCTGGATTTATTGCTAGTACTGGCTGTCTCGATAGATGAAAAAGCGGTACCACCACCTAGAAATCAAGAATAGTTTTTTTTAAAGTTCATATATTACTTGTCTCTAGGAACATAATATTCGATTTACTGAGTCTTTTAGTTAAAACATTATAAAAATAATATCGCGCGCATGAAAGGGTTAAATATTAAAAGAGTTCTGAAAAACCCACCGCTTATTCCATAAAACTCGACTTTTCGGAAACTCGATAGTCCCTCAATCTACATTATGTCGAGTTTGCGGGACTCTACAAAATGATCAAACTACTGATTATAGAGTTGGATTCTGGCAAAACGTCTAGGGCTAATTTCCTAAAGAGAGGAATGCCTTTGGGGATGACTTCTTCCATAAAATTGGTTTATCGCTCAGCCGCTAATAGGCACCTTTTATAAAAAACCAAGTGCCGCATTTATAGAGGTGGCCAGCGTGGTTAAAGGCTTGGTTATACTTTCTTCATTGGAAAGAATAGCTGTTGCTAGAAAGATTCATTTGCAGTTGCTCGAACTTTATCTTAAGACTTCGTCATGTAACCTATGGATAATTTCTTGAAAGACTTAGGGTATGTAACCATAGGAACCTATGGCATTATCAGATTAGGGCTGTATGATACATGTGTTAGAGCGTCCTATCTTTAGCCAACAAAAGTACTTGTTTAGTAGAATTTATTACATGCAAGTCTTATAATGTTTTTGTTTTTTCGTACTCTAAGGAGCTTTCTAAAAAGCCATACGATTCCATCAGACAATGAAATCCTTTTTAACTGAATGGTTCTTCAGTAATCTTCCACATCCTGAGCGAAAACTCTGAGCAGTGGATCACTCGGCTCACGGGTCGATGAAGAACGCAGCCAGCTGCGAGACTTTGTGTGAATTTCAGGACACATTGAGCAATGATCTTTCAAACCCGCATTGCGGTCTTGATTATGCTCGCCTGTCTGAGGGTCAGATGAAACTTTCGGACGGAACTTACTCCTACTTGGTCGTATCGGACGTAAACCTCCGTCGACCTAAGGTCTCGTATCACTTTGGCCGAGAAGCGTACCACTTAAGAGGTCGCTCGAGGGCGGAAGAGACTATGCTAAAAAAGACGGCGTACATAACTAAGAGCCGCAACCTCAAGATAATTTAAATGAAATATGTACAGGATATCTAAAAATGGCAACATAAATATAAAATAAACATCCTATGAGAAGAATGCAAATAAAACCTGGCTGGGGCAATAATCTGATTATAATTAACTTTCGATAACTTGTGTATCAGATTTATCATTATTGTTCCGTTTCTGCTTCCTCTTAGGGAGGAAACTATTGCAGAAACAGACAGGTGAAACCGTAACAAAACTACCATTTACTAATTAAATGTTAACCAACAAAAATTTAACCAAGCAGTTATTAACAGGTCAAACAATTTTGTGATCGTCAAGAGATGGAAGAATATCAATACATGCGTTGTGTTTACCATACATCCGTGACCGTGCTGTGAGAGGATCGAGTAATAAGACAACAGTATTTCATAAGCAAGAACATAACAAAATTCCAAATTAATTCTGAGTTTATTAAGTATTCTCATGGCAAAAGGAATTTCCATTAATTTACTGATTATACCTTCACCTTAATTTAATTTAATTTTTTGACATTAAAATTTTATCATGAAACATACTTATTTACTTTTCCAGATAAAAACTATTAAGTAAATCATGCAAAAAAAAAAAAAAACAATACACACTTTTCTTTGTCCTTAAGCAAGGAATTTGACATACAGGCTAATAATAATTTCATAATAAAAAAATGTACATTCTTAATTAGATGGAACTCTGAATTTTAAATTAATTTTAGAAATAAAGATATTAGGATGAAGGCGAGTTTCCTTTAGGTCGTTAGAAATTAACGTTACAGTTAGTAGTTACTTATTATCTTCTTCTATTTCATTAAAAAAATAATAAAAATTCTTATCTGGAGGATGGTCATCTTGAAGTGAAAAATGAACCGTTTCTCTAATAACCTGGCTAAACGACATCCTGGCTTACAACACCTGGCTAAACGACATCCTGGAACACAAAGAATGGCACGGCGATGACTCCTACATTTCACGAGGAAACTCATCTCACTGTCCAGTGGGATTGAATAATGGAAGAATGATTTTAGTCTTTGTTGTAGAATGATTTAGCCACTATCCTCATAGGAAAAAATGTTATAACACAAAGACGTAGTATCTTCTCAGGAGTAGCTGTCATAACCCGAACAACTGAAGAATGAGTTTCGCAATAAATATTCGGCCATACCAGACCATAGCGACAGTTGCTGGATAAACTATATCAGCCATGCGAACAATTATTTTTTCGTAAACATGCTGCACAGCTAGAGTACTCCCATCAGTAATTGTTTGGCCAACAGAATCAGCAAACGCTCAGATGCATGCTTCTTCCTGCACGTAACAAGGCCGGGAGCATGAAAATATTCCCTCCTTTCCCTTCTCCTTCAAATCAAGGGGTCACCTAAACCCAGACGATCCAAGCAAAAAGTGTCTGTTCTTCAAGAACTCCTTCACTTCCTTCAGCAAACACATCTCCCATAATGCCATTATTATCGCCCCTCAATTTTAGCACTAATTTCCGCTTTTACCCCGAATGACCGAAAAATGTACCGTCTTTCGTCAAGAACCTGACACTGCAATTCGCCAACCTGATGACTTACCCGCAGAAAATGCAACACGTAATTCCATCACGTAAACAAGTCCTAGGGGTCAATCGCACAAAAGAAGTTTGTTCTAGAAAATTCTAAAGGACAAACAGCACCATGACAAAGCGAAATTCGTCCTTTTTTTCGAACCCTTCACAGAGAAGCAAAATTTTGAGAAAATTCAAAAATAAAAGAAAACGATAAGTATTTGTTGAAGCATCTGCCTTTCCCCAAAATTAAGAATTTCAGAACCGAATTAATCACTAAAATAAAAACTCAATTTAATAATTCAGAATTAAACTAATTATTAAGATTTTCAACTAAGAAAATAATTAATCCAGTTCTTTATAATAGATCAATTAATTATCTACACAACATTATGTCACATGTGCCATTCAACTTCTACCACGATCAAGACCTAGTGGCTAGCTGCTTAAGACTGTGGAATGACACTAATAGTGCTTAAGACTGCCGAATGACTCACAAAAACACATTTTAGTAGTTCGTCTCAGGATCAAATTCCGGCGAATAGGCTGGATGCATGATTGATTTCATATTCTCATGCCTAACCGAATGCGAGCCGTCTGCCTCCATAAAGTCATCCACGAACGCATTCCTTATAAGATATTTCTCCCGCCCTCTTAACGAGCCTTCGTGGTGTAGTGGGCTGCACGCTCAATTGAGAGGTCCGCGGTTCGATTTCCGGCGAAGGCGTTGCTAATTTTTCATCTCTCCGGCCTCCAAAAACATATCTAATGTTTCTCTACAACCTTTGGCAGATAGTCCTAATTTGCTCTGGCATAGTTATATAATCCAGATCTCCCAGGATCAATGGCATATATTATTTAGTACATTTTGTGTTTAATTTGAATAGCCCTTTTACATACTTGGATAAAAAATTTTCTAAATGATTTATTTAATCAGTATATCCAAAGTTAGGGCTTGTTTCCTTTTTCCATTCAATGTCTGAGAAATATCAAAGGCGCTATTAATGCGTCTGAACGATTACTGTATTTGGCAAAATAAATCTTAGATAATGAGATGATAGTGAAAAAATATTTCTATGCTAATGAAATTAAAAAATTATTTTACTATGTTATATGTAAGCTATCTTAAAATATATTTTAATTCATTCATATTCCTTTCATTACTTTTGATGATAGTATATTTCGATATATTTTCTGCAGAATCGTATCAAGTTTACCATCTGAATCTTCAGAACAGATGGTAAAATAAATCTTAGATAATTTTAGATAATGAGATGATGGTGAAAAAATATTTCTATGCTAATGAAATTAAAAAATTATTTTACTATGTTATATGTAAGCTATCCTAAAATATATTTTAATTCATTCATATTTCTTTCATTACTTTTGATGATAGTATATTTTGATATATTTTCTGCAGAATCGTATCAAGTTTACCATCTGAATCTTCAGAACAGATGGTTGTGCACACAACAACTACGAGTAGAACATCTGTATCTTCATTTGGAACTGAAGACGAACCACCGAGTGATTCAAAAGATCAAATGAAACAATCTAAACAAGAATAAGCTTATGGACGCTTTATGTTGAGATTGGAGATAAAATAAGACCAAGTTCGCCTGTCCATTGAAGTGCCGAAGCGATTATTCCTTCGTTGTGCGAAATTTCCTAGGAATGCCAGCATTCTATTTATCTTCTTGACTTTTTAAGCCGTTTTCGTGTATACTTTAAAGGCCTAATACTTGTCTGTTTTCTCATATATTTAAATTTAAGTATCCTGTAAGGCAGAATTTACTTAAAAGTGTTGTTAATATCTAATTTGGTATTTTTAATCTCAAAAGTCTTATTTTATTTTTTATTTTTTTTTTTTTTTTTTTTTTGAAAAAAAAATAAGGTTTCTGAGTAATTCCAATTTACAGTTATTTTCTTCTGTTTTTGTCTGCATGGACGCTTGCAGTATGTTGACGCAATCATTATTTTCCGTTCATTTGACTGCTTTTATATATACCATACATGGTTTTCTTAACGCTGTGTGATTTGAAGATAGCCTGCTTTATTAAATAAGAGTTACATTTTGTTACAAGTTAACGTCCAGTTTTCAACTATGTTGTTTAGGCTTTTCTTCATTTTTTGAACTTCAAATTTTGCATACACTTACGACCACATCATCTTCCAAATAAGTGGTATTATTTTGACTATCATAATTAGCAGTTTCTGTGCAATATAAAAAGAGTGCTGTCGTATCTCACTAGTAATATAAATAAAAGAAATAAAGAGTGCCTGCCGTTTGTTTATGTTTTCGTGTATTTATCGGCAATAGTATTGAGCATTATCCGAGTAGCTTGAAATACAAAGTGCCCTTCTCAAATATTAAGTTGCTACAAGTCTTGAATAATAGTAGTCATGGTATCTATCAAGTAAATTTGGCTACCATTTTCAGAGTAATCAATGATGCTGTTTACTTAATGGACAGTATAGCTTGGTTACGCAGAATACTTCACTACTATACATATTAATAACTGAATGTAATTTAAGTAAGATTCAATGACGTAAAAGTTGTTTATATGCAAGTGATAGATATCTTTTCAGTGCCTGTATCAGGGTATCAAATTTATTACAAGAGTGGAAAACAGTTCGTTACATTATTTCACCAATCTGATGAAATGCGAAACTAGATTCATCATTATTTATTTCTGTTGCAGTCATTTCTGAAAAAAGATCATTCTATTTATACTGATACAGCAATGGAACTGTGTCAGTAATATTCACTGTGCTACGTAAAGTATATGTTGAAGATGCTTTGAATTGCAGTTCTCCCCAAAACACTTTTTTAACCATACTTACATTTATCGCAGCGTTTTTAACCTACAACTTGAAATAAAGCTTCAGTAGTGCGAGAGAATGGTTTTCGAACAGGTCATCATAGATACTGATTAAAACGGAATCTAATGTACGATATTAAATTTGTATAAATTATGATTTAAAGATAATATGTATTTTAATTCATTTACATTGATAATTGTGTGTTCACATTTGGGATATTTTGAAATATGTTTGAATAATTAACTGTAATAAATATATGTCAGTGTATTGAAATAATCTAAATGAATTGAATGAAAATTTCTGATATATATATTTTTATTAGAAGTTTATTTGTTATGAAAATGAAGAAATATGACTCTGTTAATGTTATTTAATGTTTAAAGGAAAAAGAAATGCTAATTTTGATTTACATTGCTTAAATTTTATTTATTTATTTATATTTTTTCAGAAATATAAGATTGAACGCATTTCTTTCAAGTTATATTACTATATGAACATTTATGAAGAACTTTACGTCACATATTAACCAAATACAGCGTCTGAATGAGTCATGTAATTTTATTTCAAATCAAAATTACTTTACAATATATTAATATTTTTCAGTAACCAATTTTGAGTTTAATCACCAATCTAAATCACTGCTTGCCTTTTTATATGAGAAAAAACATGTTTGTAAGGAAAAAGTAGAACGATTGCAAGGATTCCTTAAATCTGGAGCATAAGGCGGTAATCAGATTTAGATTCAATTATTTCTCAGAAAATAGCGATGAAAAACTTTTTACGATTCTAAAGCATAATAACTACGTTTATTTAAATAGTTATAATCGATGTGTGATTTATAAATGTACCTAATTTTTAAGCTTTTAATTTATCCCCTTTCTGAAATTTGTCTTTCCTAAAAGAGATTTTAAGATATGCAAAAATTTAGAATTATATTTGTGGATTACCGTTGCCTTGTTTCAATAGGCACAATTAAAAATTCTTTATCATCCTAAGTAAATATTAGTTAGTTAACAAACGATTACTAAATTAGTCAAATTTCTAAAGAAAAGAAGAATTAAAAATACCATGTTTAAATATTAAGGTGTGGATGGAAATCCACACCTTAAATCTCTAAAAACAAAATAATTATGAAATGGTGCATAGTCATCAAGAAGTAATGTAACTGTTTGTGCTACAGTTTTATACTCTTATTGTGCTCTATTTATCATATTATGTTTACAGCTTTTCTTTTTTAATCTGTTAGTGCTCATACTACGATAAATGTGTTTTTCTTGTGCTTCGGAAACCTGTACTGTGGTGTTCTGTCTGGTTCTGCCACTTTATGAAGCATGTTAATGCTTCAGTCTTTTGAGCTTTATAGTGGAATTGGAGAATGTAGCTTTTTTTTATGGAAGTGTTACTGCTCCTTTCCTCGTGTGTAGCTCATGGTATTAGATTAGACAATTTTTGAAAATAATATGTATTTTTAAAAATTTGATCATTAATCTATTTTCTGATGATAATTTATGTATTAGAACGTACAGAATAATTTTGGGCTATTTGCAGAAATAAAATTAATATCTGTTCCAATGACAGCAAGCTAAGTCATGATTTTAAAGCATAAAATCTCAAATTCGATCATACCCGAAGTATCAGTAAATTAGAGGAAACGAACACACGAGCACTGAGTACTTCTTTAAGAGAAAAGAGCTGTATCACATGGTTCTATGCAGCTAAGGACTGTTGTCGGTGATATTTCACACTTTCCAGACCAAGAGATGAACTGCCTGGCGCTGACGAATGTATATGTCTTCAGTCTATGAATGTGGTTACGATGCTTGTGATGTGCACTTATACCCTGGATACTCTATAGCGAGTGCATCTTTTAGTTTCAATAAATACAGCTTATTTCTATCAATTTTGTTTTCTTCATTTCTAATACACACTTATACAAATATTAAAAGAGTATGTACTAGTTTAATGTATAGTATTTTAAACATCTTTTATGAATTACAGTAACACTGCAAATGTTCATAAAATTCATATAAGGGATAAATTATTAATTAAATGCATTTAAAAATTATTTTAGTTAAAAATTAATTATTGTCACATTAAACGCCAGGCCTAATTTTTCTTGATTTAAGACCGATCCTTAAAGACTAGTGCGGCATTTAATGTATTGTAAGAAACTTTTATAGGAAGTCACCAGTAATTTACAGTTTGATAATGACCTATGGCTGATTGTCACCTTTATGAGACGACATAGTTAGTGTGCAATTATTATTTTTAAATAGCTTAGTTTGTTAAACTGAGGGAATTTCTATAAATTAAAAGATAAAATTTAATGCTGATATGCCTTCGGGAATTAGAATGCTATTATGTTGATTGAAAGTTAATAATTATAAGATTTCATGTTTCGTGCAATGATCGCAGATGTGATAACCAACGCCGGATTTAGCATTTTTCCTAGGTAAAGCAAAAACTTACGACTGCCGCCCTCACCTACCTTCCTTTAAGCTTCTCTAACAGATTTTAATTTATTTAATAAACATAGAAATATGTAGCGTTTGAAATAAAGTGTAAAATACATTTTATAATAAGAAATTCTTTATGTTCCATTTTTGTTATAAAAGAAATATGCAAAAAAAAATGGTTTAGTTTCTGTATTTTTGGCAAAGCATAAGAGGGCTATCTGCCTAAGAGGAGAGATGCCTTCGCTGAAGACTTTCTAAGAGTAATTGGCTCCTATGCAAGTTTCGCATGAGCGAAACGACGAAAAGGCCCATGCAGCCAGCTAATTCGTCGGGATGCTAACATCCGATCGAACTACCCAGTGTTGAGACTTTACCGCTTAACCTCTGGTGGCCCGACATACAAAAGTTAAATAATTAAAAACCCGTCGAACCCTCTTAATGCAGTTGCCTCTCTAGTATACAGGAATAATCAAATTTACATTTTCCCTGAAATAGGAATTTTTTCAATATTTGCAATAATAACTACTCTTATATTATTTTGCTATAATAAAGCTAATAAATGATACTAAAAAAAGATTCAATACTAAACACTAAAATAGTTCAGCACAGTACAAAAATGGGAATCATACAGTATTAATAATAAAAAATATCATTTAAACAAATATAAGAAAATTACAAATCACTAATGTAACTGATTAAAATAATTTTATACCAATTTCTCTATACTAACAGTAAATTTAACCTAGCATATTAAAAATTCATTTCAGAATATCGCCTTTATGTAGCCTACTCAAGAACTCTTCTAGTTTTATGTAGCCTACTCAAGAACTCTTCTAGTCAGTGTTTAGGATCTCTCTCTGTATGAATTAGTCGCTCAGTGTCATGATCGATGCCTTGACACGATTTCATTTGTTGTAGTCGAATTTTCCACTTAATTATGCACTCTCTATGGATTTCAGAGGCTCCAGTTAACTTATATGAATCTTTTTTTTTTATTTTTTCAATTAATGAATCCTGTAGTACACAATGCTGATGTAGCGTCAGAGGGATAAAAGAGATTTTTAAACCTGGCTTTAAAACTACTAATGTTGTATCACAATTAGACAACATTCCAACTAAGATCCAGCGCCACGCTTAAATTTGACGCTTGCAGAAGATTAGCGCCCGAGGCACAGACCCCGGCTTCCCCCCCCCCAGATCCTGGACTGGTGATAACGTTCACGAAATCACAGTATAATGTTATATTATACTGTGATATACTGTACTCTTAGTGAAATTTAAAAAAATTGATTTACTGGAAATGCGGTAATTGCGTCTAAAATTAAAACCGCAAGAATATTATTTGTTCAGAGCTTTGTAGACGAAGATGAGAGAATTAATCCTTAGATGAGAGAGAATTTTTCTGTTTTGAAGAATATGCCCGTTTGAGGCTTCATGCAGCATCACCGAGCTAATGAGTGACTTTTATAATTTGCAAGCATTAACCTGGTTAATTTACTCTTTGACTAATACTTCTTTTATGTTCTGCCGCCACCGTAGCAACATTATCATAGCACTCCGGACCGACAAACGTTTTATGCTTTTTTCACTCACCTGTAGTTGCTTCAAGATGAGTTCTTCCAAGGTTTTCTCATTCGTGCGAATTATTTCAATGAAATCAAGGGAACGTTCCGTAATACGTATTTTCCCATCCCAAAATCAACTTTCACTTTCCTTCTTATAACTTCAGCCATCTGCTCTTATTGTATACCTGAATAGGAGTGAAGTCAAGTATTTAGTCGTTACTTGGCTTTACATATGTACTTGGCTTTAATAACTTCTGTCAATAGTGGAGGAATTCTTCCTTAATGTTGGCCCACCAGCGGCCGAGCGGCGCTGAACACTGGTAGTTCGGTCCAAGGTTCGAATCCCGCGAACGGGCTGACTGCATGGGCGTTTTCGTGGTTTTCCCCATGTGTAACGTGCATACGAGCCCGTTTTCCTTAGAAAGTCCTCCACGAAGGCATCCCTCCCTTTAGGCAGATAGCCCTAGTGTGCTTTGCCATAATTAAATACACCACACCACTTCCTTAATGTTGGTGAAAGATATTGATCCGGATTTTTTTTTCCCTTGAACCAGGTATCTTTTATGATAGGTTTAGAAATGGAAAATAGTTTCAGTAAAGCCGCGAAATTCCTATTAAATAAAGTATTATTAATCTGGCACCATTACCTGTGCCGGCCCGGGGCCTTTGCGATTATCAAATGCTGTTTTCTGTTCTAGTGCACGCTAATGGTATGATTAAAAAAGAGAAGCAAACATTAAGAAAAGACCCTTTTTTAAACGAAAAATAGACCAACTGTAAGAGAATAACCTCTTTCATCAACCATTTCTTTTTCGGGCAGTTTTTGTTTATAGAATAATAATTTATCAACGAAAAAGAATTCATGAAATACTTGCATTTAGCATTATATTTTTGTTCTCAATAAATAAATCAACAAAGCTTTTCTTGTATCTTCGTCAAATTCCAGAAATTGAAGCTTATGCTGTTCTAGAATCTAGAGTTCATTTCACTAGTTCATAAGCTTGTTAAGTGTGCTCGACATCACCGTTTGCTTTTCTGTAGTTTTATCCTTAATACCATGATATTTTTACAAAAATTTCTTTAAAAATAATTTTTTTAAACTTACAGAACTATGTATTTTAAATTATTTCTTGTTTTTAATGCTGAACGGTCACTAAATTCAGAGCAAAAGACATTTTTCTTTTTGTCTGTACCAAATCGCTTACTCTTTAAGACAGAACTTGGTACAAATAATTTTATACAATGGAAGCTATCAAAATATTCCTCTATGTAAAGGTAGGGTTAGTATATTTTAAGAACGAGAATCCAGAACCATGGCATGTATTTGTCACCCTGAAACAGGATAAGAAATGTAATGATACATGTTATATGTATAGTACGTGTTTTTGTATTGAAGCTGAACTGCATCCTATAATTTACTTGTGAACCCCTAAATTAAGCTATTAAAAAAAATTAATTTATATTATTATTTTTCACCAACTTGTGCGCCCACTCTAGAAAATTTCCTGCAGATGCCCATGATCATGACACTTCAAAAAAATTTTATTTCGGTGGTTAAAAAGGCCTACAGCTTGTAAGTTATATAAACATATATGATAAATAAAATTTGGTATTAAGGAATAAAAGGAGATCACATAGGAAGAGCAACAAAATATTGGAAATATTAAAAATTAAATTGCATAACTTTTGCAGCATGTGCAATGTGAACATTATGCAGGTGACTGGAATTCTGTTTTATTCCACTCATATTCACTGCATATTTTCTCATCAAATACTATTTTTTTCAAGTATTCTGTTATATTTTACATGTTAATAAAAGTCACTGCATGAATATTTTGAATTCACACTCAAGTCTAAAACTTCCTTTATTGTTGACATCTCTAATAGATCTCTTTCTAGATTTCAAATAATCACAGCTGAAAAAGTCCTTTCTGTAGAACGGGTGTATTCTATAAACGCATAGCCAATTCAACTACTTTGAAAAATATTTTTGAAGCTGATATCTGCATTCTTGGGGATCTCAAATATTGTCACACATTTATATCCTCCAGTAATGGCCGAGTGGTACTGGTAGTTCGACTAGGCTTGGATTGGAGCCCAGACGAGCGGGCTGTCTGAATTTTTCGTCTTCTTGGTTATTCCCATATGTAACGAGAATACGAAACGTTTTCCCCAGAATGTTCTCCACGAAAGCATACAGCGTCTCAGACAGATAGCTGTTTGGATATGTCTTCTCCATATTCAAATAACCTGCCTTCAGCGCTTAGAGGTTTAGAGTCTGATTTTTGTTTTGTTTGCAAAATTTGCTTAGCATTGATTGTCTTCTCAAATAATTCATGTATAGAGATGCTTCCCACCTTGAGAACGAGTTATTTTTCTATTGACTGTTAATACCAGGGATTTGCCCGTAACATATTACTAGGTCCGGTACAC